CGTGAAGTTTCGAGGGAGTAACACCACCCGTCATCAAACGAAATAAACATAGGAGAAAGTGAAATGGTCTGATTAAAGTGGTTAGCGCGACAGGACAGCCACTGACAGGCAAACATATACATATATATGTGCAGAATAGCATTATTGACAAAGACAAGCGAGACTGAAGTGGCCATTTCTAGATCATTAATCGTCGTCAGCCGAAGTGTGGAACGCCTGGAGCGTCCCAAGAAATATAATTTGAAGATAGCAGGTTATTTGGGAAAAGTAAGAAGTTTAATGGCAAATTCTCGATGTCGGTTCCCGGGTTGACGTCAAACTTGAGAAAATGTACAAAACAGTCAAAATTTCAAACGTGCTCAAAAATCAATGCCTATCCAGCGATTCTGCCAGTGAGCGTCCACCGCATACGTCACTGTGTATCTATTGGTTCTTTCTCCCGCTTTTCCTTGAGATTTTTGTACAAGTCTTCTAACTCAATGTGCCGATTAATGCATGACTCATCTGAGTAAACGGTTTCAAGCATTCTCGGTTTTTTGGTAGGGCAGACGTCTGTTATGTAAATCTTGTCCCATGCGAAAGCATGCCCTGTATCTAATGTGTGCATGGTCATTTGAGATAGGTGATCTCGCCACTTAGCAGCTAACTGGCGTTTATGGATGAATGTGGAGGCGTACTTTTTAGTTTGGCCACAATATGCGGCATCACACGCTTCACATGGGATCTTGTAGACGACCTCCTTCTCCAGATGGCCAACTCTATCCTTATGGTGTACAAGCTGACTGAGGTAGACCCCCAGTCTGTGCGCCGCTTGTATTTCTTGTGCGAAAGTGGATTACCGAAACAAACAGGGGAGACCGAGTTGGCGATTTCTGGCTTACTAGCCTCCATCAGCCAATCTTACCCGACCTCATATTCGGGGACACAAGGTACCCCAATCCGCGCTCCTAGGTTTACTAGCTCAGCGCTCTAACCATTGTGCCACGACCTTGTTATCTACCACAAACTGGTAGGAAAATTTCTGCAAAGTCCCAAAAGCAGTTTCATCTAATTTACTAAGGTAGAGCATACCACTTCTCGCTTATCTATACTTAGAGGTGTGGATTAATCCGAAGCCTTAGGAGGATATGTAATACCCCTCCAGTGTGTTATTTGTTAGGATGCAGTTTTAGCCTCATTGTTTTGCATACGCCGACATTTTATCCAGCAGCAAATATGGTGCAGGTTGTTCTTGCATTTCTGAATGCGCATATGCCCTTACAGTTCACTTACGTTTCACTGCCCACGTGACAATTTCTCAGCGTGAGTAGGGACTTCTGCGTAAAAAGGTTTGTAGTGATAGTAGATTTTTGATCCACCTACTGTACTCTCTAGTACTTCGCCCATTGAGTCCGATGTCGAGTCAAAAAGACCGGAGGGCGAACCGGGCGAAGCGACGGACACGACAGACCAGGTTTTCATTAAACTAACTAGATGGGCAGCGGGTGGTTCATGTCCCAGCGTAGTGCGAGAGGCATAGATGGCACAGTAAGAAGGATCTATTGAAGTCTGAATATCCGTAAAGAGAAGAGGACCGAGATATCCAATCGATTGGCAACCTTCCAAACCACAGCTTATAGCACATCGCGCTGGTTTTTGAGCAAAACAGGTCGTTTAAAGTGAGAAATATGGGTTAAAGCATGAATGATTCGAGCCTCAGTATGCTTGCTATCGTCTGCGGCCGACTTACTGAGGGCAGGCCCACTGCCATTAGAGTAGGATATTTTAAAACGTACAATGGGTTGACACAGTTCGTCCTAGGGGGCGCTCACCGATCGTTCATACTGAACTCACTCGTTCCGTTGTGCCTTAAGGGCTCTCTCTCGAGCCTTAAGGCACAACGGAACGAGTGAGTTCCGTATGAACGATCGGTGAGCGCCCCATACCATTGTATATTCCCGATAGAAAACCGACAGGACAACGGGCTCGTGGCCCGATGGGTAGAGGCGTGGACTTCTAAACCAACAAGTCGCGAGTTCGAGGCTCGGGTGCTCCACACTTCGGGCTTGGGTATGGCTGGCTGACGACGGCTAATAAGCCAGAAATGGCCATTCCAGTCTCCCTTGTCTTTGTCGGTAATACCATTCTGCCTACAGTCCATCCTATTGACAATGAACCACGCGACAGAAGAATCAGCAAACTCAAAGCCAAAACGGATGTGCCCGTCTTCGCGAGGCCCAGCCGCCTGCATTCAACATCCGGAGATGGGACGCTGTAGTGAGCTGTTCCTGTTACCTAACGGTAACTCCAGGCTGATTACCACGTCTTACATTAAAAGAACAGCCATCAACCGTTTTGCTTTCTTCAACGGAACACACTCCACGCCAGCTACTCTTTACAGGTGGAAGTGACGGTGGCAGTGGCGAATGAGTCACGCTGGATAGGTGTGTGTGACTCATGCAAACTCGGGCGTGCCGTCACTCAGACTGCTAAAAATGGGAATGTGTAGACGGAATCACGGTCGATGAATCACCGCCGGTGTGTCACGTGAGTCGCACAGTTTCACCGGACACGGATGGGGGCCCGACCTGCCCGCGCACTCTCGTCCGCCCAGAATTCCAGTTAGTTTGGACTACTCCGGTGGTCTGCATTCTATTACGATTTTAATCTAAGTCGACTAGTCGCCTTAAGCTGAGGAAACCTGTAGAGAACGCTGTCTGGAGGTATTGAGCCTGAGGTACCCAGCCAGTGGACGAGGAATCTTGTAGGGCATACTGACTTGCATCACTCAACCTGAGTCGTGGTACGTAGTTGAGACATTTTATCGTGTGGGGCTTACCTGTCCACATTGTCTTACCGTCCTCACACATCGCATGTGCTTGCTGCATCCGCCTGAAACCGTCACGATACCCGTATTTGCGTGTTTAATGTTGACCGTTGGCTTGACAACCCGTTTTTACGGGAGACCGGACTATTTTTGAATGCCAAGCATGAAGTTTTAACTTTTTCACCTGCGCTGGCTTTGAAGTGGTAGGAAAGAGTCCCAGACCCTGAGTTCCTGGAAAGAACCACTTTAGGCTGAAGCAGATATGACTATGATGGAGCGGCCAGATCGCGATGGATGACGAAGGCCTGCCCAAGCAGATTTGCTACGTTGATGCCGGTACAGATGCTCGCAAACACGAGGGACAACTGTATCACAACCAGTGTACCTTTGTGGTGAACAGTCAGAAAGGCTACGTCGCGCCTCTTGCTAGCGCCTGCACCTACGTCCTAGCGACAGCCTGCTATGGCACGCACGTCTGCCCGGCTTCCATTTGTTTCGTTGCAACCCACTGTCTGCACCACGCATTCGGTCGATTCTCTGCCTGCACCACGCGAGGCTTGTCACTACCTTCGCTCGGGCTCGGAGCCAATCAACGCAACTCCTATCGTTGATTGGTAAGACAGGCGGGAACAGTCCAGAACAATAGAGTAAACAATCTGCAACGACATTTTTGCAGCGCGACCTTCGGCGACACAGGGCTCGTCGCTCTCACGGACGCCGCCTCCGCGGCGCCGGACGAATACTCGTCCGGTTGCCAACTTTCCCTTAATTATTCTGTACAAAATAGTTCTAACCAAATGGCGTCCTACTTCTAACAACTTGGGATATGGCCTGAAGTTGTGGCGCACTGAGCGTACACCATCACCGCTTAGCCGCTACACCTTCAAGACTCCCCCCGAGTACCTGCAAATTAACCCGGCTCCTGGGGAGAACTTAGTTCAAGATCGACAAGCGTGGTGACCTACCTTGGAGACTGAATCAGCTGTATTCGGAAACAACTGAGTAGCCCCCTCTAAGGCTTAAATAGTGCTGTGAACCAACGACGCAAGCACTCAACCGCCTGTTATTATGTCTTCAATGGCAACGGCTAATCCAGGAGCGCGTCGGATTCACTACAATAGTGACCAACCCGTCCCTAATCTCACAACGCACCACCACCGTCGCCGCCGCTACGAATAGTATTACTGGTGAAGACACCGCCATCCTGTGAAACAGAAGCATCATCAATCTTACCATCGGCAATGTGGACTCAACTACACCGTTCCCACCGGTCCGCTTGGTCAACTGCGGAACTGAGACCGGTGGACGAGGACCTGGACGTCGGACATAAATCCGGCGATATGCGCCTTCATGAAATTCTCCTGTGAGAAGCCGCAGTCCAGACCTCCTAACCGCACCTCACCCTACCCGTCAACAGACAGGCCATAAATTGCCACCCACATAACCTTCTTCTTTAGCATTTAGCCCATTGTGCCATTTTCACTACGGTGGGAGAAACGTTGCATGTTAGCACATGCGCGTTTCGGCCTCATATGAAGCATGCCCCTTGATGTACCCCGGACCAAATAGTGTGTAGCACGCGTAGACGGGCTCTTCGGTTAAAAAGCGGGCGACTTAAGTCCTTTACTAACGTAACGTGGCCGATAAGCGGGGACCTATTATGCATTTCTTTTATAGATTTTTCAGCACCTAGGTAACCTGTAAGGACGGTTGTTAGTCTTTTGGCTTCCAAGAGTTCATCCCGAGAACCAGACTGCGAGTGTACGAGACCATCGTCTAGACTATCCTTCTATACGAACGTGGGACATGACCCATCCGGTTGGACATAACCCACCTGTAGGTATTCGATCGACTGGGACCACGCTCCGTTACCCGGATTCGTCTGTCCGATCGCACGTCCAAGTTGGCCAGAAACCCAGTCCGTAAACTGCACCCTCTTTATTTTTGTCGTCATAAGGATACGGCCCCATAGAAGCTCATCAATATCTGTTAAATGACTAATAAGACGGTAATCGCAGACAGCTACCACTTCTCCGCCAACTCTAATGCGGGCTAGTCACTCAACCCACGGATCAAGGCCTCTAAGTCGTGTTCAGGCTTGGTAATGAGGATGAGGGCGGTAGGGAATTTTATTGTATCACAATGCAAGCATTTCTTCTGTCCGGTGTTTCAAAATATCCCCAACATGGCGACATCAGGATCTTGATATTATATCTGCGGCAGCCTGTAGTCGGGAGATGAGAAGACGCGGCGAATAGGGCATGGTTCCCTGGGACTCGTGAAGGCGGAGACTGGCAGATAAACGGCGCAGAAAGGTCACGATTTCCTGGCTGGGATACCCCGCAGTACCACCGTTCGGAGAGCCGGGGTCGGGATGGTGGTGAGTCGCTGGCGAGGGTGCCACCGGCAGGGCCCAGACATTCGACTGGTGCAAGTCAGCCGTGGTCGCGGACGAGGCCACAACACGCTTGCAGTAGGAGAGCAGATATGCAAGACAGTCAGTCTCGGGCGAGACGAGCCAATCAAGAACCGTGAAGTGTTCGAAACAGATGGACCTGAGGAGCTCGGCAAAAAGCTGGTGTGCCGATGGCACTTTGCCTAATATGGGCATCCTGAGAACGAAAATAGTGGATGAAGATGCTTGTGAGAATCACGCTGCGAGAGGTTAGTAATAAAGGCACAGAGGAAGAAGAGAATAAGACGGGAGAGGCAGCTCGATGAGGTCGGGTGGTCCAACAAAATCTGCTCGTTAAGCATCTAGGATGATGTTGACCATAAAAGCCTTGAAATTGCTGCCTTCAGTTAGAACTTACCTAAGCAGCGAACGATCTGTGGACGACAACTAGAAACTGGAGACACTTATGACTTAAGCGCACTTCTACTTGATACAGCTGGTCACGCCTGATCTAGTCGATCTTAATGACTTTGTGCGAAGTACTTCGCACGACGGTCGGCATCACGAGATCTAGGATGTCCGGCCATTCTTACACAGTGACAAGGACATATTTTGTAGGAAACACGTCCGTGGGCCAGATTTTGCGCCGACCTCTGTCGTCCCCATGTAGGCAGGCGTACTGAGCGTGCCTGAGTCACTTTAATGGCCTTCCTTAGATAACCTGACAAACACTAGCGACGTAGCTGCCGGTGAGGACTGTCTCATTCAAGATATAAGAGTACCTAATTCTAAAGAAAATTCTCGAACAGCAGTGGTCAGCAATCTCGAACCTCTAGCACAAGCATTTACAACTGTACAGGAGGACTGAACCGGAGGACACCCACCGGTGCATTCGGATTCTTGCAGCGCTGGTCCATAAATAATTAAAAGGATTCCGAAAACCCTGAGGGAAGCATTGGCTAGGATGGTGTTGTTCTTACTCCGTTCATTTCACGATTCCGCCCCCGAATAATTGAAATTGTCCACTTCTTAAAGCTTACAGCGATTAGTCAGGGGATGCCTCCTGACCACGGGTGATTTTCACGAGGATATCGTGATTTTCGCGGCAGTTATGAATGAACTAAACAAATTTACCGACCGTGTTCAGGGGAGAAAACGGATTCTGTATATCATAGCTTACCGCCAGCGCAGCAATATCGTCAAAGTAGTCAAGATCGGACAGCCGGAGTCCAGTCTTAAACTCAACACCACAGAAAACCGCAAATGGCAACGACGGAGCTCGAGAATGCGCCGTAGTTTTAATATTTGGTCGAAGTAGCCACGTCCACCCAGGAACCCGGCTTGGTTGGGTACCGTTATTGACTTATGGACACTTTGGAAGCACCTAGGTGTGACAGTGGCAAAGGCCTTTGGAGCAGTGTTGTCGAGACTTCTCGTATTACGCCTTATTTCCCATCTTGAAGGCAGTCACGTGAAAGTCGAACCGCAACCATCGACGACGACACTATCTCCCAATGCCTGTTCAACCATCGCATCAAGTCAGGTCGTCATTGCCGCCTCTAGACCTGTAGCCCTCAACAGAGGCTCAATTCTTTCCAAACGCCTAGTTGGTGTGCAGCCTCCAGATTGCAGCAGTGGTTTGAACTCCGGAAGGAGGGCTACACGACACTGCATAAACTACAGAAGAACGAAACTTTGCTGCAGGAAAAAGAGAGTCGATGGGCTGGTCGATGAAGTTTAAAAGGCCTCCAATGTGTTCAGGACAGCAATCGGACTTGGCTGGTTTTTCAGCAGTGATACCAGGAACGGAATCACTCAGTGCAGAAAACCTGCATTTTGTGAGTAAGCTGGTAGAGTTGTCGATTGCCGCCGACATCTCGAATCTACCCATGAAAGTCGTTATTTTCCAGCTTCTTGAGGTCTTGCACAGCTGACTTAGCCGTCATTATATGGAACTGGACGATAAAAAGCAGTCAATCTGGATACTTGCACGATTATCGTTGGGATGCCAGGTTACCAGATGTTTGCGGTGGTGCTGGGGACATATGTTGATGACGAACAGCCACTTCTGATCAGCGAAGTTCAGCAGTTCTTCACTGTTATCATATCGAGGACCAAGCCCAAAGCTTTCAATCAGATGACTGTTTGGAGATTCGCCAGACACAGAGCAGCAATTCAGTCTAGCAGCAACAGATAGAAAATCCAAGGAAGGAGGTTTACGGCCAGTTCTTGCAGATGAGAGGTTCCATTAACGCCCTGGCAGGCAGTTAATGTTTGCGCATAGAAAGAAGTTATAATTATGTTGGTAAAAACTCCTTCAGTTACGCGGTCGTTTACAGGTCCTCATGAAAGTACTGCTTTGGTGGGCAGTTGCCACACCATGTCTACCGGAGGAGTCGCAGAGGCCCCGGTGAGATAGAGGGCGAATGGAGTTTGCCCTCAGGAGTTCCACGCCCTAGGGGCCTCGGTTTGGGATTCGGACGGCAGACAAGCGTTGTATTGGTGTAAACCGCACACGGTCTGGGATCGAGGACTGTGCTTAAATTCTAGCATCAGATATTAAGGACGCGCGTCCGTTCAGCGGACGTCATGGCATGGCTCATAGCAGTGTGTTTGGGCATCTACTTTGTGACACATATGCGGAGGTTTCGAGTACAGCTCGGTCTCCAATGGCCACTCAGATTGTTTTTTTTTCAGGCCTGGCTCCTATAACGTTTTAGCTCGGTGGAACAGGTGAATTAATCTAATGCCATTAAGGGTCACCATAACATAGTGCTGTCACCGGACTTCGCAGTACTTTGCAAGGCCGTCGGTGTGCTTGACCTCAGCCCTGTCCAAACTAGTGGCACTGTCGGTTTTGGTCCACCGGTGATTATTTGTCAGACCTGGGAGTGCATACTTTTCAGTTAACCCTCACTGAAAGCCGTGCCATCATCCGCCACCCGTGGACGCGTGGAGTGGCCAGAAAGTAGACTAACTGGTAGACCTATTGTCCACTCAAGGCGTAAGTTGTCATAATTGACGCCCACAAGTAACGTACTAAAATAACTCTCAACTTTCAGCTTTCAATTTTCATAAGCAAGCAGCACTACGGTGAAGTGAAAGCAAGAATTACCTACAAAAACAGGTCGACTCGTAGACAGCTGGCCTACGGAGGGTTCAATAGTGTGTAATGACATACTCATGCAACCTGTCTTACACAAAGCAAGGTAGTTCATTTTTCTGAACAGTCAATCCTAATTTCACCAGGAACTATGCTTGAAGACTACACACATCACGAAATTTACAGGCGTCCGCAACCACTTTGTAACTATTAGAAGGACACCTTGATGTAAACAAGTGCAAACCTGGAACGCTAAAAGTCCGGGCTCATTTTTCGCCGCGTTGTGTTGTTCCGTTCAGTCAACGTGTTGGAATCAGACCAGACAATTGCATATGCAGTCGTGCCCTGCCTTTATATTGGAGCAAGGTCAATCAGAGGGAGAAAACAGAGTACACACACACACCTGGCTTTTATTAGCTTGTTTTCCAACTGGAGAAGCGTCAAAAGCACGCGGAACAGGCGCACGTCGTCTGTCAGAAAAATTTGGACAGTGTTTCTTTCCAGCGAGGTTCCGTTGTGGTCGGGGCAGTTGGTAGAGTCTGCAGCCACAACTGCCTTTCCAAAGGCGTCCAAAAGGAAGGGCAGCCGCGGAGACTCCAAGGCTGGATTGAAAGGACGGAATGGAAAGGAAGAACTGTAGTCACTAAATAGTCTCTCTTTTTCTCTCTCTCATTTGACCCTCTCTACTGTAGGGCGACTTTGGACTGGTAGTAGAAACGGATGCTATTCGCCTGCTTCGTATGTCCCAAGTTCGAAGGATGAAAGAGTGTGCAGGACAAAAAACGGGACTAGCTCAGGGGGGGCGGCAACAAGGTACAAAAACATACCACTAAAGTAGGTATATTTCTTTAGCAATGAAAATAAGTGCGGGAAAAGGAGTTGCGGGTCGGGAGGAAGGCCCAACACGGGTCGGGGAAGATATAGTTTTAAATAAATTCCATTTTTCAAGGGCGTCCCAACTCTCGTACGAAATGAGTGGCACCTGATTCACAAGGTAGCCGCTGACATCTGCAAGTTAGGAATTCTTATTTAAAAACGGGCCAACCCCAAAACTACTGCCCTGATGGCTTTACTCCAAGTGAACACACTGATTTCTAACGAAATTTTAATATTAAACTAGTCCAAAAATCGCATCTGGAACGTTGGATGACCCACTGCCTAGCCAACTCCCTTACAGCCGCACGAAGTCGGCGAAATGTGCCTGAACAGTTGGCTATTACCTGCGTTGGAAGCAGGGTAAATCTCAACGTATAGTTAGAAACAGTCAGGAAGGGCTGTGAGTCCTTTCGCCTCGATTTCCACTAACTCTACGACTTTCCCCAGCGTTCTGAAAATTTTTTTCATATGAGGCAGGTCGCGTCATCACGCTGCTCAACGGTCCGGTTTCTGGTTCCAAGTGAAACAATGAAGTGCAAAGGTTGCAATTCAAGCGGCAGGTTGAGACCCACATAGGCAGGGACCCGCCTCCCCTGCTATCCCCAAGAAATGGCAAGGGTTTCTCACCAGCGATTCACTTGTGTTCCGGGCACTGAATACATAAAAATATTGAGTAAGTCGCAGGAGTGATATGGGTCTCAGCAAACTGCACAAATTTGACTATCTGCATGGGAAATAGATACGGTGAGCAATATTTCTAAGCCCTAGCATCTAAAAGGAAGGGCCTGAGGGATCAAATGGGAAGCGAAAACTCTCGTCAAAAAATGAACTAACGGAGTGAGCCGGCGACACGCACAACGATGTAGAGGAGGGTCCGACATGGCGAAAGATTGAGCAAACGCCACTCATGACTATGCGCATCTCCAGAAGCGGCTAAGTGCTGTAAGAGCAGGGTGGAATCGGGGTCAGTCGAAAAGGAAATGTCACAGATCAGGGTCACCAAGTATTCACACTCATTTGCAGAGAAGAGCGATGGTTTTGATGTGAAAGTGAACTTGCTGGACCCATAAAGGATAAGCTCTGTCAACTTCTCCACCAGACGTAGAAGTTGATCTAGCAAGGAGCTCGATAAATTGAGGGAGGAGCCTAAAAGAAATAAATTTAAAAAGATAATTGCTACTTTACACCATGCAAGTAGAAATTAAATCTTTATTGGAACGCGGTTACTTTCCTTGAGAGTCAACAAACACCATATGAAGGAATTGGACAATCAGCTGCAAGGAAGGAGGTTTATCAAATAGCAGCAGTTACCATGCTTAGATGCCTCAAATACTGATTCCTCAAAGCACAATCCACAGATTCTGTCAAGGAGAGGACGGAAAGAGAGCGCCGACAGCATGTGAAAAGCTCTTCGAGGAAAACGAAGGCCTCGGTGCAGTAAGGGCTAGAAGTGCGCAGCTGAAGTTGAAAAAGCAGAAGTCAGTAGGGGAGAATGAAGGTTTTTATCAATGAGTAAAGCTCACACTGAAAGGAAACGGGGATTGACCATAGAAGTGAGAAGACCGAACTCGATTACTTGAGCGTCAGAAAACTTGGAGTGAGTACACTAATAACCGCAGTTGGAAAAGTGGAAATACTAAGTTTCGGGATGTTAGTTTCCCACACGTTCCCTGTCTTGGTTTGAATGTACCCGTAAACTATACTACACTGTTAATCAGTGTAATGAGAAGCAAACGACTTCTTTTAAGTCTATGTGAAAAACATCGCGACTAGACCAGAACAAGGAGAGGTTGTGAGTTAAAGCAAAGCCGTGGATAATGGATGACTGAACAATTTAGAAAAACAAGTGAGAATTCACCCCGTCGAATATGTGAAATGAGCCGGCGAGCTATCCTGGAGAAAAAATAATACGGCTTCGGTGAAGAATCAGGCGTTCCCACCCAATGAACTTCGGTAAAGTTTCGAGACCGCTCAAAAGAAATCCCGCCAACTCAGCTCACCCCTTCAAGTGGCACGCAATAGACCTGAAAACAGTCCTGGGATTCGGCCGACTTCTTCACTATAATTACTAGTTATTCTGAGATTTCCGCGAACCGGTAAACACTTTCTCCAAGAATGAAGTTAACGGTGTGCCAACTTTCTTTTTATGACATATTACTGCTGCCTGCTGAAGAAACTATTCCGCTTCAGTTTAGAACAAGTTTCATTCCAAATTTTTCATTCTTTCTAATTTCAATTTTTACGGAAACAATGTCGGGACAGGGGAGTCTGCTTTAAAACTAGTACAGTTGTTCATGGACAACAAGTCTTTCACTGATCACTTATGTTGATTGAGAAGCGAAGGGGATATAAAAACTACCGACTGTCCTTGTTTTTTGAGATAGTCCGGAAACTTTCTAAAAACCGCTAACAGAAGTCGACTACTATAAACTTAAATCGTGTTCTCATTTTTCGTATTTCGGCCACTTTTGTTAATGTATGAATCTGGACCGGACCTACTAACATTAAGCTGTCCGATTCGGTCAATTTAATGACTCAAATGGCTGGTTTTGCTGGTGAAATAGTCGTATCACAAAGACAGGAGAAACGTCAGCTTTAAAGTGACTAGTCCGAAGTCGAAACGAAATCTCGGGAGGCAGTTTATTAGAGACTTCGCCTGCAAGGATCAATATGTCAAACGAAGGCATCCCGGCAGTGTAAGTCAAGTGGATGATTCTAGGCTTCCTCTTCAGGTGCGACCAAATGAGTCCAAAAAGTTGAGACATTGACAAACATGGTGGACTCTCGATTAATAACGTGAATTGCCGGTAAGTATTTCCAAAGCACGCGATTCGAAGGTTCAAAGGGTTATACTTCGAGATAAGGCCTTCACTCTCAACTGAAAATATATCAAACGTTGAGAGAGAAACGTCGAAGCTGCGTAGAGTTGGCATACATGGACCTCATCCGACTACAGAATGGGAGGTGGTCGTTTCTTCTTGTTTTTCAGTCACCTCGCGGGCAGCCTGACTACGACGAACAGCTAATACTCAGGAGGTATCATCGGCAATGAGAAGGGAAATGGACGTTCCCCCTTCTGGCTTACTTGTCATCGTCAGCCTGTCATACAGCAACCCCAGGCCAGAAGTAGTCATTCCAGTCTTCCTCCTCTTGTTTGGAAGATCAGAAACTAAAATGCTGCGGCGAAAGGCAATGAAACAACTCGGGTCGGAAAAACCTCGAAGATATGCATGCGAACTTCCAAAGCTGGGATCTGAAGTTACGAACAGGGGGCCAAGGCGGCCACCTGCGAGTGCGCATAATCTAGGCAGAGCCGCCGAGCAGTCCACAAGCCTCTTGTAATACTTTATAGAAGCTGGACATTTTTGTACTGCACCCTAGACAGATCGTCAGACAGGGGAAAAGTTGTGTAGGCGAACGCAGAAAGGGCTATATGGTTGTACGACTGAGCAGTATTACCGACAGCCATATCCGAACCCAAGGCGGAGAAACCCTGATCGGAACTTTAGGCGCTACTGGCAACAATCGAGAAGACTGGAAGCCGCCCAGGATTGACGGTCATCGATCCGGTTTGATTGCAGAACGAAATATGGGCGTTCATTTCTACTTAGAGTTCCAGTCTAGAGTCCTCGCAGGCAGTCGCACCCTCTCGCGTCTCCGTCGGAAATACCTCTGGCCTGGCTGTCGGCATCCGTCTCCGAGGTTTCCAGACCGGAGAGCCATTACTCCGTCCTGCTACCAAGCCAGGCTAGTGAACACAGTTTCCCCTTGACCTTAGAAGGACAATTTTCTAATATGGTGAAGCGCATCGCACTCAAGGCGTAAGTGATCCTGCAGCATGATCAAGAATAAAGACGAGAAAATCAAGATACTGAGGACTGGGGAGGAAACTACTGTTTACGGGAGTCAACCGGCAAGCAATAAAGCCTTAAATAAGTACCACGTGGTCTACCGCCATTGTCGCTCGATTCTGAAGCCTAGGCCACCGACTATCCAGTTGCTGGAAGGTGTTAGGTTGAAGTGGATCACCGCGGACCTGCAGGAAGTCGTTAACCAGCGAGAGTAAATGAGAAAGGATTCTGGTTTTCGAGTCAGTATCAGGACAGCCAATGTTGATATCAATGTGCTCGAACAGGCGGGAGAGGGCCAGCTCCTAAAATGTAGAATTGACACAGTTGGGTAACACCATAGGACACGAACAACGAGACATTTCTCTTGGCTGATAAGGAGTGGTAAGAGAATCCCGAATTGGACAAAAAAATAACCGCATCGGCTGGAGACAGCAGTGAAGTTTTAAGGATCTAAGCTGTCATGCTGAATATCAGTAAAGGAACCAAAATAACAGAAAAGAACCCACTTTTACCAATGGGGCAACAAATAGAAGAGCCACGACTAAACTGAAACGGCAGTTGGATCCATCTGGTTTCGTTTCTACTAGTTCCCAGTAAGCGGTGATTTTACTGGTAACTGTGGGCTCTGTCTCGGTAGTGAGCTAAATTGGCATGCCGGATGAACTTCATTGGTGTGACAAACCACCTTTCCGTCAGATCAACTGAAAGGGGGACTCGGTACAGCAACATGCACAGAAAGGCCACAGCTCAATGTATGCAAATGCATAAACTCTTAGGGTCTCACCTTCACTGTCCCTGTGTAGGGGGATATGAGAAGACGACGTATGAAACGACGACCCAGTAACGCGACTGGGACCTGGTCCGCCTGAAGCCAGCTAAGTGCCTGTTCTAGGCACCCGCAGATCGTGGATGGACAGACATCTGCAGAGTAGCCGTAGTGCTTGGCCCCAATGTCCACATTAAGCTGCCATTCTGCAAGGAATTGCTGCTGCATTGCAGACTCGGGAATATATGCTCAACCTGGAAAAGAAGGGGCAACATTTATGCCAAACAACTACGAATTATTTTATTATTAAATGCTGGCCGCGACCAGCATTTAAAAGCCAAATGCAGCCAAAGTCTATGGTTGCAATTGCGGACATAGCGCCAACGGTCTGCGAAGTCTATTTTTAAGCGATTTCTCCCAAGGCATTTAAAATAACAGGAAGGCTGCGTAAAATTATTGTATTGCCTATGCATAGGAACCGGTATAGCAATTGAAGGCATTAAGTGGTTACAATACGCACTCGATAATTTATATTTTTGTCAGTGACGAGATTACCATTTATAGGTGTAGCCGAGTCTCGTCGGATAACACAGACACACACTACAGACAAATATCAATTCCCAGGTGATAGACGCCGAAGGCGCGCTTTCACGGCAAAAAACGGGTAGAGTCGTTTGCCGCACCTGGTATAGTTGCAAGCAAAGCAAGTACGTCGGAGAAGCAGTCAGATTACTTCATGCAAACGACAATGGAGATGAATGGCACCAATTCTCATGCCACGGCTTACTAAACAAAATCCGACAACATCTTCAGGCTCGATGTGGTCGAATTTCTCGTACTGGATGGAGACTGCGTGGGTCTCGAACTGTTTGAGTCATGGTTTTCTGGCCCGCAGTCTGTCAAAAAACACAATAACCTCCCTTATTCCTCTTGCCTGAGCAGACTGCGGAGGACGCATGGATGAACACTGCTTTTATTGACGGCGCTGGATCAAGTGATAAACACATATGATGAGATCACCGGCACTATTGATCTGGATGCGGGAGACCAAATAATAATCGAACCAAGTTCGAATATTTGTGATGAATGGTGGAGCTACTGATGTTAGTAGACATGTGGCGTCGTAGCAACTGTAGCTCTTGTATGTAATTAAATTTTATATGGTGTGGTCTTTAATTATGGACAGAAGGGAAATCACCAGCAACCTGGATCTCCCGCCTTCCTTCCTAGAAACCATCCCCTTCGTGCAACAACTCACCAGCGGGAAAGTACCAGGCTACGATGCGATTCCGGCTGAGACCTATAAACACGGCGGCCACAATCTAGTGGATCACCTTACAGCGCTCTTCCAGGGGGTGCGGAGTCAAGAACAAGCCCCTCAGGATTTCAAGGGCGCAACAATAGTTCACCTCTACAAGCCGAAAGGAAACCGACAACTCTGTAACAATCACAGAAAAATTCTGCTGCTCAACATCCCCGCATCCTCCTAAATCGTTTCAACGGCCACCTGGAACAAAGACTTCTGCTGAGAGATCAGTGTGGATTCCGGCGACACCGCGCAACCACTGAAATGATCTATGCCCCCTGCCAGCTACAAAAAAATGCCAGGATATGCGGACTCGCCTATAAACCCCATTCGTGGACCTGACCAAAGACTAAGACGGAGTGAATCGAAGTCTGTGGAAAATTAAGCAGAAGTTCGGCTGTCCTCAGCAATTCACGCACATGGTGCGTCAGTTCCACGACGGGATGATAGCACGAGCCATGGACAACGGGGCGGTTTCCGAGGCGTTCGCAGTGAGCAATGGAGTGAGGCAGGGCTGCGTACTAGCGTCCACCCTCTTCAGTCTCATGCTTCTCGGCATGCTGGTGGACGCCTACTGTGATGAGAGCCCCGGGATCCGTATCACCTACACGACCGACGGATACCTCAACAACCGACGAATGCAGACCTCGACGCGTCTCTCCACAGCTACTATCCACGATCTGTTCTTCGCCGAAGACTGCGTACTCAACAGTACGGCCGAAGCAGATATGCAATAGAGCATTGATTTCTTCGCCTAGAACTGCCGCCAGTTCGGCTTGACCATCAATACGGAAAAAACGGTGGTCATGCATCAACAGCTACCGAACGCTGAGTTCAGTGTCCGTCGCATCCATGTCAATCGCACCGAACCGAAGACTGCGGACGGCTTCACCTACTTAGGTAGCAACACGTCACACATCAAAATTGACGACGAAATGGCCACCGGGTCTTTAAAGTCAGCCAAGCTTTCGGCCAGCTGCAGAACTCGCCACGACCTTTGCCTGACAACCAAGTTGAAGATGTATAAGGCCGTCGTCCTGACCGTCCACTCCAGTCATGCCAGGAAGCTCAATCACTTCCATCTCAGTTGCCTTCGCAGAATACCGTAGCTGAGATGGCAAAACAGGATCCTGGACACGGAATTCCTCTAACGGAAAGAAATCCTCAGCATCCATGCCATGTTGAGACAACTGAAACTACGTTTGGGCGGCCATCTTGTAAAAACGGAAGACGCACGTCTGCCGAAACAACTCTTCCATGGAGGTGTCACTACGGGTACTCGTCGACAGGGAGGAAAAAACGACAATACAAGGACACTCCGAAGAACGCTCTGAAACGACTGCATATAAATCCAGAGACCTGAGATCTCGTCCAGAACAGACCGGTCAAATGAGTATCCGTGACAGCAGAAACCACCACAGTATCGACACACCTTGAACACCCGCTATGCCTTGCCCAATCGACACCTCAGTGTCCGGCGTGCCCACTACCACCGCCGCCGCCACGGTCACCACCACCACCACCACCACCACCACCACCACCACCACCACCACCACCGCGAGAAAGATATACCTCTAGCACAGAATTCTACTCAGAGGGAGCTGAAACAGTAAACTTCTGAGTAGCCGTTTGAATTTGGCTATGCTGCATGTGCCGTCACCAGCTGGAATTACGATGATTTTCACTAGCAGTCCACCTTTACACGCAGAAGTAGAGGGTAGGCAGCTTCTTTGAACGTCATTTATGAGCATCCACTAAGCCAATTGTTCCTGTGAACCTGTTTATATGTATAGAATCTCACCATCCGCCAACGTAGTCATCACCATCGCAACTGACTCTGCACCTCCCAACTTGTACTGCCCACGCTGCCACCGCACGTGCACATCCCTCATCTGCCTGGCCGGTCACTTGTGAATGCATCGTACAGACCGGCAAACCAGTGTATAGAGTGCCAACGTCCAGCCGTCGTCATCTCTTCAACTGTTCGAATCGCCCTCACACATTTAGCCATCGTATGGGTATGCTCGATCACATGCGCCTACACGAAAACATGCGATAAATCACCACATCATCATGCATTTCCCCATGAACACATGCATCACGCACGAACACTTCCAACATCGCACGACGTAGGTACGAACTGGGTACTTCTCACGTAAGTAAAGAGTAGGTTTTCCGGCTCCTACATGTTCCCCGTCTGCTACATTTGAGAGTCAAACAGTCTACCTTCTTTGGCTGAAACCCAGGTGTGCTGTGTGAGGGGGCACGTCATGTGTGTGTGTGACAAGCGCAGGTCCCTTTTGAGTGCCGTCCTGGTGGTATAGAGAGAAGACTTCGGAAAAATTCGGGTTTGACAAAAATATTATGGAAGACTGTTTATCCCAACCTCGGCAAGGTAAAAGATTATAAACTAATCTGTAGATCAGGGGATTCTGGTACTTTTCTGTGAAGACCTACACGTATAGATTCGCATCCGCAAAATTCACAGATTGGGTCAAGGGAGAAGTATTTATCTGGTTATCAGCAGGCCCTAGAATAAGCTGACAACTTTTGGCAAAAATCTGCGTTCAGGCAAAGCACTGAAGGTCACCAAAACCGGAGTGGCTGAGCGATGGGTGGCGGAGGTCCAAACAACAGTAATAAGCTACTTTGATTTCACCTACGTAGCCAGGAAGTACAAGCTTGAATTTTAGAGCTCGTGGAGATGTTAAATTATTAGCAAACGCAAGGTCTTTTTGGACAGATGTATGCTTCTGTAATTGATCTAAGATATGCGTGTCACCCATGAAGAGGCTGTAGTCGTTTGAAGTAACCTCGGGTAAACCACCTGCAGGTACGATGAGGAGTAACACGGTTGGCATGATATTCTTTAGAAATCGCATTACAAACTAGCGATTCCGATAGTGCGGCCGTCTTAACACGCAGGCGGGAAATCTCACTGAGAAAAACTACTAGTCCTACTAATTACATTTTGATATTTCAAAGTACTAAGATTAACGAAGGTTGCTTTGCTATCATGCTAATCGAGCCTCCTGTCGAAGATCCCCACTGCAATCAGGCGTTTCGTAAAGCAGCTGCCTTCTTAAGGAAAACCGTGGTGACTACGTTTAAAATGGCTATGGTATTATGGGAAAGGGTACATATGCCCACAATGTGTTACCTCCATCAACTCACACTAGTAAAAATGACGGCACTTTTCCGTCAGCCACTTAAAGAAGGTAGTAAGTAGGGCGTGTGTCCAGTGATTTGAAGCCAAAAAAGATAAATCTCGGCGAAAAGTACAGAAAAGAAAACGAAAGAAGTGAAAAACAGATTACACGGCAGCAAACCGTAGTTAAAACAGTCCCCTCCAGATATAGCATTACCGAGACATCAATGGGCCATAGTTAGCGGGAAGGTGTGCCGCTGTCAGGCTGAGCAGTATCTGGCAGTAAGCGGCTTACACATCGGTGATCGGTCTCGAATCACACAAAGAATCACGAAGTTAATTAAATAGCAGGCGCGTGGAAATCGAGGCTATTTTTAGGCATTCGTTTCACTGGATGATATACCACTGCGGACATAAGTATATCAAGGTCGTATGTAAGTCCCTCATTCCGCCACCACTGTTGAAACTTTAGAAGTGTAGATTCTCTCATGCACTTTCTGGGCACATATTAACCATCGAACAATCTTTGATTTCTGGCTTGTTACCACACCGAAAGCCCCGATATCCCGATGGGGTGTGGAAACCACACCCATGAACTATTTCGAGATGCAGCAAGTCAAACATATACAGAAGACGAAAGTTTGATCAGGTAAGAGGTCGGAAGCATTTAGAAACAAGAAAACTGTTCGCCGGCATCCGCAGCAGTCCACGAGTATTACTTCGATTGTCAGGCTAAAGAAGGCTAAAAGTTCCCGACTAAAGGCAGCGTTGAATCGCAGGTTTCTATCACATGTCGAATTTCTTAATTTACTCTAGGTTACGAATGCGGAATTAAGGTTTTCGCGCATTGACTGTGAGAACGCATAAGTGACTCCAGGCAGACATTAAGTAAACATCGCCCAGGATAGACATGAAACTGAGAATAACGTCAAAACTAGGGAACTCCTGCAAACAACTACAAAGGGGTAGTAAACCGAGATGGCGAACAGCAACCATCTCAGCATGGAATATTAGGGGATACGGTAAACAGACGGCAGCTCGGACGACGTGGTCCCGAACGCATATGCAAAAAGTTGTAAGCCTTGTACAATTATTAATCTAGTTAACTGTATTTCCAGCCAGACCAATCCATGCAGTTTTTAATCGAAATGTCTGCCGTATGGACCCTAATATACATCCGAAACACCACC